CTGCTCGGCTGCAGCACCGCCTTGCACGTAACCGTAATGGAGAAGCAGGTGCCTTGGTTCTGTGCGTTTAAAACACAAAACACGGTAGGGAAGGGGGTGCTGGTTGATGTACTGTTACACACCTTTCTTGACAGACAATGGAGAACAAGTTTTGGTTGACGTGGAAGATAAAACCAACAAAGAGATAACTGAGCACATTAAAAAACTCTTGGGGAAAAGCAAGTAAGTAACACTTAATAAGCTAAAGTACAGTGTAGCGTACATCATTGTACAACCAGTGCAAACTCTTGCCAGGTATATAGAAGTACCACTTTTCCCAGACAAAATTGACACGAGCCACGTCAGGTCCACAAGCTAGAAACTGTAAATCCATCCTATTGGTGAATTTGGTCCAGGGAAGGGAAAGGAAATCTTGCTGTTTAGGCTCCCAATACTAACCAACATCTATCTTCTAGAGAAACACTTGAAAAAGAGGAAAGAGAAAGGAAAAAACTATCACATCCAGCAACTTTTGGGCCCAAGAAGTATCATCTGCGAGAATGCATGTGTGAAATTGAAGGCCAAGTTCCCTGCCCTGCTTTTGTGCCACTGCCCAAAGAGATGAGGGGAAAATACAAAGATGCTATGAAAAACGAAGCAGAAGCCTGATATCTGGAGTCCTGCAGTTGTTTTTCCTCAGGGCTGGATGATCAAGGTACTTCAGTGAGAGACAGGAGCTAACAGCAAGTTCATATAATACAGACAACCTTGTCTCAGAAGTCTTACAGCTGCTTCAAGAATAATTAAAGTGAAAAATAAATAAAAGTTAAAAAGAAACCCAGCTTTTTTTGGTGCCAGTTTTACAAAGGATTACAGTTAACACAGCATGAATGGAAAACAGAATGACTGGAGCCCTATGTCCTACTCATGCCTGCATGTAGAAGGTTATGGCAAAAAACAAGATCATATTTGCTTTGAGATAGAGACTCGACTAAAAACTTAATCTATCTTAGAAGCAGCACAGAATTGCACAGTTCGTAGCAAATAGTGTAAGGGTTGCTGCTGGTTTAGCACAAGACAGATGACATGTACCTGCTCAAGTGGATCCAGAGAAGGCCACAAAGATGATCAGGGGGCTGGAGCAGCTCCGCTGTGAGGACAGGCTTAGAGGGTTGGGGTTGTTCAGCCTGGAGAAGGCTCCAGGGGGGACCTTATAGCGACCTTGCAGTGCTGAAAGGGGGCTCCAGGAAATGTGGGGAGGGACTCTTTGTCAGGGAGGGAAGTGATAGGACAAGGGATAACGGCTTCAAACAGAAAGAGGGAAGATTTAGATTAGATATTAGGAGGACATTCTTCCCTGTGAGGGTGGTGAGACCCTGGCACAGACTGTCCAGAGCAGCTGTGGCTACCCCCTCCCTGGCAGTGCTCAAGGCCAGGCTGGATGGTGCTTGGAACTGGATGAACTCTAAAGTCCCTTCCCACCCCAAACTCTTCTGTGATTTCCATCTTGTACTAACTGAAGGCAGCCAAGTGGTAACATAACTCCAGGCTCAAACTCCAGCATGAATTTTCTTAATTTAGTTACCACTCAGAAACAATTAATTACAACGAGATCCAACTTGCTGATGACACTGCAGCTCTGAGAAGCACTGATCAAGAATAGCAGCAATGGAGGAGAACATGTAAGTTAGTATTCAAAAGATACGCTTTAGTTATCTTTATCATTCTTCAGAAAAAAATTAAAACTACTCTTATAACAATTTCCTAAACAGTCTTCCTTTTAAAAAATAAAACGTACAAAGGGGAATTGTGTCTAGATTTATCAACTTCCAGCGAATTCTAGTGAGGAAGTCCATTATGCTTCAAAGTCCAGTGCTGCTGTGTAACTCTTACTTCAAATGTTCCTGCTAAAAAAAAAAACCCTTCTAAATCATCATAGCTTCTGCCTCACCAAACAATTACACTACACCTATAACAGTATATAAAAATATGATAGATTGCACTGTATTGCTTGGAATTTGGTAATTGCACATACCTTTAATCAGGCTTTTATATGCAAATTACTACAGAAATTCAGCATTTCTGTGCTAACAGTCAAGTACAAAATTTCGCACCAATTCAAGCATTCTGTAAAAACTGTCAAGGACGAACACAGCACAAAATAAACATGTTGTTTTATTTCATCTCTGTTTACAAAGTCCCTACAGAGCACTGCATGCAGTTTTAACAAAGTCAACGCTAGTTATTTACTGAGCTTTAGGGTTAAAGGTGTCTCATTCTGTTGTGCCTTGTGAGCCTCACAGCAGGCCAAACACCTTGGAGATGACTTTAGTATCAGATGTCTCGTCTATCACATGTAACACTGACAAAGATCATGAGGTATGCTAGTCCATTATCTGCTTGTAAAAAATACATTAGTACGTGTACAATAAGGATACTTTAATTGTTAGTGCATTTGACTGAAAATACAAACAAGGCAGGATAGTTGCAACAAGGAAAAAACACTTTTAAAATGTGAAAGCTGAAGCCACTGAAACATTTTTTTTCATGATACAAAAAAGCTTTGGGTTACAGTACAGGCAACAATCCTCTCGACTAGCAAACGTGTCTGTCTTAAATAACTACCTTACACTATTTCTGTCAAAACAAGCAATTCCAGGGATTATGTTTAGCTATCTTAACTTGTATGCTTTTCTGCCTGTGTAAATCTGGTGCCACAGTGCACGATTTGTTAGCTTATGACCTTCCAGAATCCTCTGTTCTTCATTTCACTTGGTGCAAAACACCCCTCAGGGACTCAATCAACTCCAGTAAAACATCTCAGTATAAAAAACTTCATGGTCTTAAGACAACCTGTTCTGCACACCTTTCAACTTCAGATTTAGGCTACAGTACAAAGAATATCAGCTGTCCTGAACTGGCTGCTGTATGTTATTTTCAGCAGTTACTAGTGCTATTCAGTGAGGATATAGGTGGTTTGGTTTTTTAAACAACAGTTCCACAAGTCCCTACCTCCACTTCTTTACGGCAAAATAAAACTAGAGTTCCTGCTCTACTAAAGAGGTAGCGTAATTATTTGTGTCTCTAAAGTATATGCAATGTGTGGGTTACAGCTACACTGCTCTGTATTATATCAGAGATGTAGTTAAAAGACTTGTCCCACTCCATAAAAGGTTACACTTCTGAGTAAGCCCACACTTATTAGTGCTATACACTGTGATCTGCCTGACTTTCCTCTATTTCAGCTTTAAATAAATACACTCTTTAGCTGTAACTCCTCCCCACCACCCTTTCAAACACTGATGCCCAACGGTGGACTTCTGCCTTTCAAAGATAAAAATCAAAGCAGCTCAGGCTCCATCTTTTACAAAGACACAGGCTGACCTAACCCTGAAGTGCTCCTGCGTTTCTGACGCCCATCTTCAGGAGCCCAGCTCTAAGCCCTCCTGCATCACAGGTGCTGGCCGTCACCTAGTCCTCACCCAGAGCACAGGATCACCAGACAACTCCAACTTGGAGCTTCTTATTGAAGACGGACACGCCAGATGCTCCCAACTTCTGAGGGGACTCAAACATGAAAGAGAATTGCTATTTGGCACAATCGCAGCCACAAACTTTGTCTCCCAGCTTGCACAGAATGCCAGTTCAGTGACACTTCAGCTCTCCATCGTAAACAAGATTTTTGTTCCTTGAATGCTACAAAATGAGGGTTCCAGTCTCACAGATAGAGCAAACATGATCATTCTGTCACCCAGAGAATTTAAAGGAATGTGTACATTCTGTAAGGTAATTAGGAATTGGAGGGTCACCCTTTGCATTACAGTTTGAAATAGTGTTGGCCCGATGTTCTTCTCCCTGGAAATGAGCAGGTACTTGTTCCCTCACAAGCAGGTTTCTGAAGCCAGCATGGCTCTTTCTATTCACTGTAGTTTGTGCTCAGGGCAAATGGGAAACTAGAAGTGATGAAAAGACAGCATCCAAATTTTACTTGGGAATTTCTATAAACTCAATAAAAAGTTACTTATATTAAGATCAATTATAAAGTTCTTGTCTTAAAATCCCTTTTATGTATTGTATTAGCATTGCACAGAATTGACCTTCAAGTCTGTGTGTCTGCACCTCAAAGAATCACAGCAGCCTTTTAACAGCACTTTCTCGTAACACCGTTAAGCAATTGAGCTAGCCTGTAACACCGCCTTGCGTCATTACCAGAGCATGCAGTCATCTCTCTTTAGCCAAAGCCCCACTTGAAAGGCCAATGCTACAACAGAAAGGGGGAAAGACGACAAACCAACATTGCATCCATTTCCAAATCACAGTTCCCTATCAGCATTCAACCACTTGCACCAACATAAGCAGACAGTAAGACCAGTTAGCAGTAGAAGAGTGTTGTAACAAGTTATTTTAACAATTCTTAGTATAAGCATTTGAGACCAGCAGCATACTTCAGTAATTCTCTCTTCAAGACTGAGTAGTAGTGGAAATGCCTAATTGAAAGTGCGTAAAAGTCAAGATTCTCCCAATTCCCTCTTGTGATCTGTACTCCTGTTTGTATCTGCTCTTCCTTCTCATATTTAACAGCAGACTTAAACTAATCATTACACAGCCCTATTGCTGCTTCAGCAGTTGGATTTCTCCTTCTGCTTTGCTAACGTGCGCTTCAATTCCTTTAAGTTCTCTGTCAGTACCTCCACCTCATCCATTCGTCCACTATGTTTGGCGTCAAATATATAAGCTTTGATATTATCTATCTGTTGGAGAAGCAGCTCTTCCTCTATAGCCTCCTCTCCAGAGATCTCACTGCCATCCTCCACTTCAAAGGGATTTGTAGAGGATCCCTCTTCAAATGGATTCCCAGAACTCCAACTGCCCCCAGGCTTTTGAAAGGGACTTTCATCATCCTCTTCAAAAGGGTTCAAAGTACTGCCAGGTGCTCCATCAGTTTGTTCACCCTCCTCCTCATTTTCAAAGGGATTATATTCTTTTTTAACCCTTTGCAGAGCTGTGTTGGAGAAAGAAACCACTGGAGAAGTGTCTTTGGCTAATGGGTTAGGACCTTCCTCTGACTGAGGGGTATCTGCTTCATCTTCAAAGGGGTTTAGACAGTCCACCTGATCTTGGCCTTTTTCACACTGTGGGACATTCTGGGGTTTGAGCATAAAGATCAAGTGCTCTTTAGCTGGCAGCTGCTCAACAGCAGGAGTTTCAAAACTTGGGTCCCCTTTGATCTTGGTAGTATCCAAATCCAATGCATGTGCTGTCAAGTTCCAGTTCTCTTTTGCAACTTCATGCTGATGCTGCTTGACTTCTCTGAAGTCTAAGGAGCATGTCCTTGAGTGCCGAGACAGGAATTTGTGGTGTTCCCTTTCCCACTCTTTTTCACAAAGGACCTGAAGTTCCTCCCTCTGCATCTCTTCCTCTTCTGCCTGTTTTTTAGAAAGCTCAATAGCTTTCAGAGTTTGTTGTTGATCATATTCATCCTGAAGTTGCTGCAGGTTCTCTTGCAACGTATGGACCTCGTCTATCCTGTTAGCTGCCTTTGCTTGCTTAATAAAGGACGTGATATTGTCAATCTGCTGAAGAAGCGGGTCTGCTATCTCTGTCTCTCTCGATATGCTAGATGTGGGTAACCAGCCTTCAGATTTCCTGACTGTTCCTTTTTTCAGGCG